ATAAGGCTAACACTGCGTTTTTAAGGTAACGCAAAACTATCGATCTGTGACTTCAGCATCCAGCACTCAGTGTTAGATTTTACCAAACTGCGTAGATGCGTCTGTGTTTGTAACTATGTTTGTATGTGACATGGTAGTGTGATAATTTTTTATCGTGCACACAGCATCTGCAATTGATCACAGGCGTGTCGAGTAGATGTATCAATCGTTTATAGAAAAACAAACAACGTGCACACTTTATTCGGTAACATACACCCGAAGCGTGCAATTTTGAATCCAGAATCAATTTATATAATTTTATCTTCCTAACCAAAATATAACTGGGGTATTAAATTTGGGGGTTAAATTAATAACAGAGTACACAAAGAATCTCATCATTTACATATAAGTGAGGCGTGAAATAAAACGATAGAAAGTACTGCACAGTTGTCTCAATCTGATTGGGTCACCTCAGCAATGGGAATCTATCGGGCCTAAATTGAGAATCAAGCCCGAAACCTCACAGGTAGAACACAAGCGTATTACCCACTTGGTCACCGGGTAGCTGTCCAGACCGTTTATCCTTTTTCCCATACTCAAGTATAAGTTATTTGTACAAGTTTGTGCGGTTGTCACATCACGCTCACCTCGGCCCTTCCCTCCGGTGTTATGTGTAATATTTGTATTACGCACTGATCACGAGATACAAATCACGTATTGGAAATCACAGACTCCACATAAGCACTGAATCACACTGATACTAGCACGACGGTATCCCACTCAACCGAGACACAAGAAAAAGGCCACAGGAGTATCACTTCGTTTATTGAAAGAAATCGGAGGGTTTAAATAATACGTGAAAAACAATTTCACTGGTCGTCCAAGCCTCTACTGTTATAATTTCACAAGGTAGTACCTGGTCGAGGATAGCTGTTTATTATGGATTACAGTTGAGGCATCAATAATTTGGCATGTATACCACAGAAATCTCATCAGAAACATACCATCGCAGTTCCTGGAAGCACGTTGGGTAATGAATGTAGCAATCGGTAATTATTCTTCGAATGCCAGCGATTTTCCCTCCGTGATCTGATTAATTTTTGGTCGTCGAAAGAAATCACTAACTTTTTCGCATACTATTCACCAATGTGAGTAGCACCTAACAACAATCAATCGCATGCTAGTATTTTGGCGTTGTACAGCTTCTGTCTGGGCCGCACGGTTTCCGATTGATTGGTACAATCGGTCTATGGTTTGAAGTCCAGAAGCTGTGACACGTATGCGCTTTGCTGATGTTACCTGGGAAGCTTGATTCATCACAGTTGTCCGAAAACTGTAAAGTGTCGCCCTGTGGTATGCGTAATCTCTTAGACTAGGATCACCACATTATGACTGGATTGGAGACTATCCGCACCTGACTACTTGGTACATGAGAGCAATGGGGGATTTGATTCGATCATATAGAGAAATTCATTGTGTACAGAGCAAGTGAATCGTGAACTGAAAATCGTGGAATCCCTGTATAGCAGCTGTACACACCCTCTACACGGTTATGTTCACTTCAAAAGCAAATCGAACAACAGATCATTCATGTTTTCGAAATAAAAGAGGTATTTTGTCTGCCAAGGACAAGGGGACGATTCCGCTCAATCTACCTCGGTTAGCATCAGATAAGCTTGGACCTTTTGTATCTCAATCCCACCACATCCACTACGAACGTATCTCTCCCTTCTGCTTAATTTTATTAA